TTTCTTTGTTTTATATTCCGTTTTGCTCAGCTTTCGGGGGCACTGTTTTATTCCCTTTACATATTCTGGATTTGGGGTTTGTCTCGTTCCCACCATTCACATTTTCTTTGCTGATTCTGAATGTAGCTTTGGAGGAGCATGGATAAAATAAAAGAGTGCAGAGCTTGAGGATGAGGACATGCCGCCCTGCAGCCCGTTATGTGCTCTACTTCTGATTTACCAACTGCAGAGATGAGCAGTGTATCCTTTTTTTCGTCTAAGACAAGTAATACTTTCTTCCATGGAAAAAGCAGTAGTTCAATCTTAAAAAGAAATTAGGTCCTTTAGAAGAATTGAAGCACTAAGGCAAACTAAATCAAATTTTGTTACCATTTTGTCCAGCATTGTTATTTGTTCATGGTAAACAGGAGAGTAGTAATTTGAAAGCATGTGTTAGATCATATTTATGTAGTAGAATTATAGACATACAGAATTTATAAGATACAAGAAAGCTTTGAAGCTTCTGCAGATGTTTCAGATCCACTCAATTCAATGCCCTGGTTAATACTGAGATCATATGTAAATTTAATAGGATGGGGAAATAATGGAGGAAGCCTCTGTTCTTCTACCTGAACGTAGAGCCTATCTTTTGGGAAATGACCAGTTTTGCATATTGGCCTCCCACTCTGGTGGCTTTCATTCTACATGTAGTAAGGAAACTGCCTAGAATTGTTTTGAACCCTGTTGATCAATAGTTAGCAAATTTTAGCATATACCAGAATCAGTTTCAGAAGGCTTGTCACTCAAATTCCAATTCCTATTTCAAACTGCCTTTAAGATTTAAATGTTCATTCCTCATTTAGTATATCAAGACTGACTTAAATTTTCCCTACCCTAACTTCTTTTTCTAATTTCCCCATTTTGTTAATGCAACATCTCTTTTCCAGTTCTCCAGGTTTAGAACTTTTAACTTCTCCATTTCCTTCATCCTTGTACTCCAATCTGTCAAGTACTTTTAACACTTCCTTCGTAATTTCTGTGATTCATTCCGTCTCTTTTTAACTATTACTACCAGAGTTCAAGCTCTCATCATGCCAGTACTAGATTACTGGAACTCTCTAACTGATTTTCCTACCACTAATTTTCTCTTCATTGCACTGGTTTACTCTGCTATTAAATTGTTCTTCTTACAGTACTGTTTTGATAATGAGATCCTCTTACGAATTTAGGATGATTCCTTTTCTGCGTATGAGAGCAAGCTTTAACTCTCATCTTGGCATGCAGTAGCCTTTGTAATTTGATCCTACCTCAGCTATCCAAACTATCTTTGCAGATCTATTTTTTCAGTCAGACAAGTCTTCCTGTACCTTGAAGACTTGAGAGAAACTGCTCAAGAACCTTACTTTTTCTCTCACCTGGCTCCTGGTTTCTTCTCAAGTAAGCTCAGAAGTTTGAAAAATCCATTTGACAGATGCCAATGGACTAGATCCTGTGGCTATTTTTCTCCTGTCCAAATTCTGTCCTCTTTAAGGGTGAGCTTAAGATCCATCTCCTCGACAAATCCTGTAGGTCCTACTGGCTTTACCACACAATGTGGCCTTTGATACAATGTCATTTTGTACCACCATTTACTTTATGAATATGTTATCTTCCCAATGAGACTGTACCGCCTGAGTTGGACCTAACAGTTTTGGGAAGAAGATAGGTGCTCATCAAATACTTGCCAACTAAGAGGCAATATTTCAGATCCATTCTGTATGAGGGAAATCTCTGTGCATGCCCATCCAGCATTGCACTCAGTGGTCACATGAAGTGAGTCTCTGTTTCTTGACAGGGATCACTTGGGAGCCATTGATCTGCCCTGTCACAAAGGGTTTGGGGGAAACTATTGCGGCTGTCATTTTAGGGAGAAAGATGGCTCCAGAAACAGGTCCGATAATGCCCAGGCAAGGAATCAACTTAGTAACAGACAGCAACTCTAGTAGTTAGGTATTTGGCTAGGAAAGGGGCTTAGCCTCTGAAGTATTTCAGGTAGGTGTTGGCTTAGCAATTACATATGCTGCTACTTTCTGAGTTAAACCTGCCTAAAAACAAAAGTATGGCCTGATGACTGGGTGGTTACTCCTGTACCCTAAGAACTCATTTATAGGCATCTGCACAGAGGTACCCACCCGAACAAACATTAAGAAGAAGCAAAGGAAAGTGCCTGAAGCATAGTCACTGTGTCAACAGAAATATCAGATAAGGTGGTTTTATGGAGGGGGTGTGTGTGGTGCGGGGAAGAATTGATGCACCTGTGGTTGGTGATTCAGAAACTTGGTGCCACATTATATGGCACCATGAAGCCACCTTATGTCCCAGCCACCCCATGGTGGCTGATGTCATATAATTACCCATTTGCTAACTGGGCCAAGAGGAAATGTATTGGATGAAAGCCAGAGTAAGATAGTTATATCTTAGCTGAGCCATATTCAGAACTTTTTGGATCTCCTTTTGTTTCCAGTGAAGCCATTGTCATTGTCAATCTAATAGTAGTTGACTTTTATAGGTGTCTTGCACTTTTTTTGTTGTTGTTGTTGTTGTTTTGTTTTGTTTTTAAGACGGAGTCTGTCTCTGTCGCCCAGGCTGGAGTGCAGTGGCACAATCTTGGCTCACTGCAACCTCCGTCTCCCAGGTTCAAGCGATTCTCCTGATTCTCCTGCCTCAGCCTCTTGAGTACCTGGGATTACAGGCACCTGCCACCATGCCTGGCTAATTTTTGTATTTTTAGTAGAGACAGGGTTTCACCGTGTTGGCCAGGCTGGTCTCAAGCATCCAACCTCAAGTGATCTGCCTGCCTCGGCCTCCCAAAGTGCTGGGATTACAAGTGTGAGCCACCGCACCCAGCCAGGTGTCATGCACTTTGGTGTACCCATTCCTAAGACAAATACATTCTCGTGTAAATGTATTCAAATGAGTTCCCATGGCTCACACAAGCTGCCAAATTATGATATCTCCTCAAGCAGGAACAGAGTCCAGACAATTCCTTTTGGCTGAACTAGGACTAAACTTAATCCCAGACTGACTCAGCTTCTCTGTTAACATTGTTTGAAATTCTGATATCCCTCCAGAGGTTGTTTCTAAAGAGTGCTTAGTGTGAAGTACGAATCACAAAGAAATGGACCAAAATGGACCTGGGAGACCAAATATTTTCAATATTAATTTAGCACACATTTATTAACTGCCTTTTACGTTAGAGCATTGTGCTATGCGGGATTATAAAGAAACCCCTGCCCTCAATTTAGTAAGTAAGAGTATAGGCCAGGCATGGTGGCTCACACCTGTAATCTCAGCACTTTGGGAGGCCAAGACAGGAAGATCACTTGAGGCCAGAAGTTTGAGACCAGTCTGGGCAACATAGCAAGACCCCATCTCTGTTTATTAAAAAAAGAAAAGAATATAAAGCAGAAGGTGAAAATTACTATATGTAGATACAAACAAGATGTTTGGGGCATTTCAGATGAAGAAGAAGAGATTCTTCATGGAAGAGGTAGCATATGAACTTGCCGTTGAAGGATATATAGGATTTTAATAAGTCACAGAACAGAAATAATAGGCATTCCAAGAGAATGTGAGAGAATAGTGAGTAATCCAATTTATTTTGGACTAGTATGGTGCATTGAGGAGAGAGGTGGGGATGAAACTGAAAAGGTAGAGAAGGGAAGAAACACATACTTCTGAGTGATTACTATGTGCAGGAACTGCTGGTACTTTAAATATGTTACTTCATTTTATTTCTGCAATGATCTTCTTGCATGGTGTTTTTTGTTGTTTTTGTTTCGTTTCTTGTTTTTTTTAGGGACAAGGTCTTGCACAAGCTGGAGTGCAGTGGCACAGTCATAGCTTGCTGTAGCCTCGACCTCCTGGGCTCAAGCAATCCTGCAGCCTCAACCTCCTGAGTAGCTGGGATTACCGACATCTACTAGCGTGCACAGCTAATTTTTAAAACATTTTTTGTAGAGATGGGGTCTTGCTATGTTTCCCAGGCTGGTCTTGAACTTGTGGACTCAAGTAATTTGCCCATTTTGGCCTCTCAAAGTCAGGGGATTACAAGCATGAGCCACTGTGCCCAGCCTCCATTTTTAAAAGGAGACTTAGAGAGATTAGGTTACCCACAGCTTGGAAGTGATAGAGTTGAAATGCAAAACTGAGTTGAAATTTAAAACCAACTTGTCTGATTCCAAAACCAGTACTGAGCACCGAGGCCTTGATGTGACAGGCTATGGAGTTTGAATTTAATTCAGAAGACAGTGGACAGCCACTGATAGTATTTGAACAGGGCAATGATAGATAGGATCAGTGCTGTGTCTAGGAAGATTGTTCTTGAAATGACAGAGAGCTTTAGAATGGTGAGGGACTAAAGACTAGTTAGAAGTCTGTTGTAATGGTTCCGACTCCAGAGACATAGAAAAGGTAGATCTCCAAAGACAAGTGATGGCATAGTCTTTGCAATTACTAGGAGGAGGAATCATAATGACTGTGAGGTGCTCAGCCTGAGTCTCTAGGAAAATGGTGGTGCCGTTACCTGAAATAGGTAAGTTAAGAGAGGTTATTGGCTTAGGATGGAGTGTAGGGAGAATGTGATATTTAGGTTTGGTATATTTAAGTTTGAGGTATCAGGAGGACTACAAAGAAATAATGTTTAACAAGCATTTTGAAGTACAGAAGATTTGACTTCAGATACCAATTTGGGAGTCATAATTAAAGATACTGGAGTGAATAAGAACTTCAGAAGAGAGATAATAGAGATCAGAGAATACATCTTTAGGAAACATATATATTTAAACAAGAAGGAGAGGAAGAATAGTAAGAGGAAGAGGCAATAAGTGAGGACAATCAGAGAAGTGGAAGAACTAGAATAGCATTATGTCATGAGCAACCTGTGAAGAGTCAAGAAGCGCGGATTCATTGGGTCAGAAGTAATTTAGGGCTCTTTGCCTTGCTATAGTATCAGTCCCTTTCTTAGGAAACAACTGACACCATTAAGTTCAAACACATTTATTTTTCTATGTCAACTCTGTTAGGGAGGAAATTCAGCAATCAAGAAAACTGTTTTCCTGTTAAAGATGTGTTTGGTGGTCATATTTTTCATTTAAGTAGTGAGAGCTCTCAATTTTACTACCAGCAAAAGAAAGCAACATTTTGAAGTATTTCACTATGTCATCGGAGATTTAGTTCCCAAGAAAGTTCTTCTTATGTCCGTGCTTCTGCCCTTTTACTCTGTGCTTCTTCCTGGGGTCTGTCAAGTCTCCCTTCATTAGATTTAGTACCTGAAATCAATGCCCAGAAGTCAGGTCACAAGCCCAATATGCATTGCATTGTCTCTTCAAGCCTCAGTTACCTAATTTGTGAAATGAGTGGTATTAATAAAGAGAGTAAAATTGCTAATGAAGGATTATAAAGCACTTTGCTAATATAAAATGCAACATCAAAGCTGAATAATAATCTTAATTTAGGGTGAATGGTTCCATTAGCAGAGTAAAAATAAAAAGGACAAAGGGTAGTGTTGCTTTGTACCTTGATAACAGTGTACAAATCAAAAGTGCTGCTATTGATCCTCATTGCCCTGTGAACTCTCAACCCAGGAATTTGGCTCCCCTCCCTAACTCTCTAAGTACTTCCCTTACCCACTCAGTGTGGTGATGGTACCTCCCTGAATCTTCTGACAGATGTGAACAGGAAATTCTATTCAGCAGAGCCAACTTGATAACTGAGAAGATTCCTCTCTCATTTATCAGTACTTTGATTATCTTTTTGTGTCTCTTACTATTTGTGCTTAGCAAGAAAAATAAAGAGGTTTGAACAATTAAGAAGTAACAGGCCGGGCGCGGTGGTTCAAGCCTGTAATCCCAGCACTTTGGGAGGCCGAGACGGGTGGATCATGAGGTCAGGAGATCGAGACCATCCTGGCTAACATGGTGAAACCCCGTCTCTACTAAAAAATACAAAAAAAAAAAAAAAAAAAAAAAAACTAGCTGGGCAAGGTGGCGGGCGCCTGTAGTCCCAGCTACTCGGGAGGCTGAGACAGGAGAATGGCGGGAACCCGGGAGACGGAGCTTGCAATGAGCTGAGATCCGGCCACTGCACTCCAGCCTGGGCGACAGAGCAAGACTCCGTCTCAAAAAAAAAAAAAAAAAAAAAGAAGTAACAAAGAGCTCATAGTTCATAAAGAGCAAGTCAAAGGATGTCTGGAATATTTGAACATACAACTGCCTTTGGCATGAGGTGGCCTACATACGTTCTCAGAGGCAGGATAGGCTGGAGAGCTGATCAAGCTGCTGGGAAGCGGAAACAAAGGCGGGGTGGTGGAATCAAATGTCTCTTTAACTGAAGTCTTTAAAACTTGGGCTTTAGCTGGGCACGGTAGCTCACACCTATAATCCCAGCACTTTGGGAGGTCAAGTCAGGTAGATCACTTGAGGTCAGGAGTTCAAGACCAGCCTGACCAACATGGTGAAACCTTGTCTCTACTAAAAGTACAACAATTAGCCAGGCATGGTGGCACATGCCTGTAATCCCAGCTACTCAGGAGACTGAGGCAGGAGAATCGCTTGAATGCGGGAGGCAGAGGTTGCAGTGAGCCGAGATCATGCCATTGCACTCCAGCCTGGGCAACAGGAAAAAAAAAAAAAAAAAACCTCCAAAAAACAAAAAAACTTGGGCTTCAGCTGGATGCAGTGGCTTATGCTTATAGTCCTAGCCCTTTGGGAGGCTGAGGCAGGAGGATAGCTTGAGGCCAGGATTTTGAGACCAGCCTGGGCAACACAGGGAGACCCTGTCTCTACCAAAAATGGAAATCAAAAACATTAGCCAAGCTTGGTGGTATGCTCCTGTATTCCCAGCCACTTGGGGTACTGAGGTGTGATCCTTCCAGGTTTGGGCCCGGGAGGTCGAGGCAGCAGTGAGCCATGATTACAGCACCACACTCCAGCCTGGGTGATGGAGTGAGACTCTGTCTCAAAGACAAACAAATAAACAAACAAAAAAACTTGGGCTTCAGATACATCCACTTTTCAAGGAATAAAGGACAGAGAAAAAAATGTAATTCATTTCTCATCCCACCAAAGGTAAGAAAAACCCACTCAGAAAAAAATATGGAATATTATCGGGAGTGAACTGCTTCTAAGTTTTCCCAGAACTTTTCTTTGCAGATCTCTGGGCCAAGTCCTCATAAAATTTTGGTAGGGACTGAAGTTCACTGCAGACAGCTGACACTATGGCCTGAAGCCAGTGGGGAGCAAGAGTTTCTTTCTGTCAATACTGCAGGGATTTTTTTTTTTAATTGTTTGTAATAGTCTCTAAATGGCTTCTCTCAAAAAATAACCTCTCAATAAATCTGGGAGAGAGACTGAAGGGCCCAAAATGACAAGAGAGTACTTCCAAAGCCATACAGCAAGAGCAAGTTAGTCCATTCATTCCACATTCCCCCAGTGTTTATGTTCTGTGCGCTGTGCATTCCCATGCCCTGCGTATTGTCTAACGAATGGCCTTAAGACCCTGTGCATTCAGCATGTGTATACACTGCTGTAGCCTACAGTCAGGTGTTACTCTCCTGAGAGCAAGACTCATTCCTTTGGGGTGGGAGACTGTTGCTTTCTTCCCCATTCAGGGTTATGCATAACTTAGCAATACATTGATACTGAGAGGAGACAATAAAAGAGTAATGGGATGGGTTATTAAACAGGAAGATTCTCCAGAAACAAGTGAGTTTTGTTCAGGGTTGTGGAGGAGAGCTAGGCATGATGGTGGAAGGGAAAGAAGAGAACTCCACCTTGTGATGAGGTCAAGATACTCTAAAGCTGACTTTGAAACTGAAACTTACAGGGAGTATGCAGAAAGTTTCTGAAGAGAAAGCAGAAATCTGAAAATAATCATATCCTGATAAAATGACAAGGCAACCACCAAATTATTTTACATCTGTTTATTAAAACGGATGATTCAACATGCATTTTTCTTAACATCTACTGTGTGCATGGCATGATGTAAGTGATGAATAAGACCTAGTCCCTGACCTCAAGGAACTCAGATTCTACTTTGCAGGAAGGAGGAAAGAACTAATGTTTCATTGCCCTAAGAATCAGGCATTCTGCTGGAGGAAATAGGTAAGAGGGTGGGTCTCAATGGAGCACTGACCTACAGTAAGAGGTAAGTGTCATTTAAGAATTTTGAATAGATGGCTTTAGGGGAATATATGAGGGAAAGTATTTAGCTCTGGGGACTGAGGGCTGGTCAAAGGATTAGAGAAGGGCCCAATTTGGACTGGCATGTGGAGTCAAGGGCAAAAAGAAGTAGAGAGCTATCGGATTGGAGTTCTCACAGTCTTTGGCTCACAGGGGATAGGAGAGGTGCCATTTTTTTTCTCTATAGAACCAAAGAAATAGGGAAACGTCCATGGGAAGAGAAAGGAAAAAGAATTTGTCAGAGAACCAAACTATCTTCCCGTCATACGTTTTCTGTAAAAGACTTCTTAGGAGCTAAGACAGTGTTTTTCTGCTTTCATTCTCTTTAATGCCTAGAATTCTGCCATAAAAGGCTATTTATATATCTTACTTTTTAGCTCCTAGGAGCGCAAGAGATGCTACTATTGGGAATTTCTAAGATATTCAGAGGATGGAAATACCAGCTGGCACCAATGCTGAGATATCCAGGCACCATCCATAGAGACCCAGTGAAATGCTCAGCCCCAAATGGCAATCCCTCCCAGACTCTCCCAGAGCCATCTCACTTTTTCTTTTATCCCCTGCCTGGAAGGCTACACTGTGGGTGGGAATAAAAATCCACTCTCCTGTTGCATCTAGGCAGCTGCCAGCAGTCTGTTTGCCTAGTTCTTTGCTGGCAAATCATTAAACAGTCCCCCCAAAGCAGGCCTCTTCCCTAGGGCCACCCCATGGACAGAGATCCAGAGCTGTGGTCAAAGGGCTGTCAGCAGTCAGGCTGGAGCCCTTGGGCTATCTCCAACACAAGCCCTTCCTGGCTGTTGCCTCTTCTGAACAGAAACCTCCTTGGCCTAATGTCAACCCCCCAATGGCTTCTAAGGAGAGACTCTGGGCATCTGAGTTGGCTGGTGACTTGAATAATTTTGTCCTTTTCCTCCTGATGTAATTTCTGAGTGCAACTACCCCTGTGATCCCTTTATTGTTTCTTTATTGAACCCCAGGCCCATCCTCCACATTTTTCCCACTTTGCAATGTAAATACAATATTGTGTGTTACTGCCTAGGAACCGGGGACTGGGACCAGCCGAGCAAGCTTCATAGCTTCATTCCATCCCCACTTAACATGGTGCCAACGCAAATCTGAGCATAGAAGATTTCATTGAGCTAGCCCTTTTGGAGATAGTATCTGCCCTCAAAGGGCTTCTAAGCCCCAGGGCAAGCCAGTTGTGGAAGACAGCAGTATGGAGCAGAGTTTGCAGGACACCTTGAAATCCCTACAGCCTCTGAGCAGGAGACTAAGCCTGAAAGACCTGGAATATGTGTGAAGTAACCATGTTAATGAAGCTCTTTCACACCCTTGCACTGAAATCACCAAATTTAGCAATGCTTGAGTAGCTCTGCCGGTAGTCCAGATGGGCCTCTGGCTTATTGAAACAAATGATCTGGTTTCCTTAAGTTTCATTTCTTTGGTGTTTTTCACAGGGACTGTCTGGCTTTAGTCTTTGGCCTTTTAAGCATTGAAATCTTAACCTAAATAATTACTCAAAAATAAACACTTATCTGCTTCTAGTAGGTTTTCAGATTCCTGCCATCTCTGGCCTGAGTTTGGCTGGAACAGGAACCGCAAAATCAAATCATAAAGCAAACTCTGTCAAGGCTGTTTGCAGGTAGCACATTGGGTTAGGTGTGAGAGTTCAGTTAACTACTTTGTTGTGGCAAGAGTTAAGACCATGCCTCAGAAGGGCCCTGGACAAAGCCTCTATAGACCTTATCCTGGGCATGTGGGAATTAGATATTACCCCTAGCAATACTTGCCATCTGTGTCAAGACCTCAGCCTTTCAGCAGACGACTTCTTTGAATAAGACCTAGCTAAACAAGGGGCCTCAGTGGTACTCCCTATAAGATGGAGGTCAGTGAGGGTCACAAGATCTTTCCTGGGACAGTGATCAGAAGTCAGCTGACTTCCCAGGACCAATTAGTATGATTTTTGGATGGTTGAGCCCTGAGTTCCTCACCTGGTGGAGAAAAGGAGTCCAGAACACATGACTGGGTTATCTTTTAAGGTCTTGATCTTCATAGGCTTCAGAACTTGGTATTCTATTTCATGGCCTTGCTTCTAAAGATCCCTGATGTAACTAAAATGATATTTGATGGGCTCCCTCTTCTTTGCTTCTAACTTCATGAGTAGCTTCCTAGTACCTTTGTAGCTAGGGGTCATTCTGACTGAGTCAGGACCAACCCTGTTTCTGTGTGAGAATATAATGATATAAAAGTTCTACTTCTTGGGTGGCTGGGATTTTTCCTCCTTCTCTCTGTCTGATTAGTGCCAAATAAACTTTCTTCTCTGATATCACTTTATTTCAAAAGCAGCTCAGATAAGTAGCTCTTCTCCTTACCTTCTTCCACTTCCTTAGGAGTGCACTCATGATCTGTGAATCACCATACAAAGATGCTAGGCAGAGTGTGGGGTCAGGAAAACCCCACCATGGGGGCTGTTTTCATGTAAAGAAGTCCAGTTGCATCATGGAGCTCCAGCACAGTCTGAAATAAGGATAGGTGAATTTGGAAATTGAAGAACAGCATCTGTAATGTGGGGCGAGGGAGTGAGGAAAATGGCAGTCTGGCTGAATGACCATTATTTGGGTCTGAGCTTCTATGTCCTCTAATTTCAGGACACACCTTTCTCATACTAAACCAACAGGGACGTTTCACTGGGAAAGTGTCTCTGAGCAGCGTCTGGGTCTGGCTGCCTTTGTTTTTTGTTTGTTTGTTTGTTTGTTTGTTTTGAGACGGTGTCGCCCAGGCTGGAGTGCAGTGGCCGGATCTCAGCTCACTGCAAGCTCCGCCTCCCGGGTTCACGCCATTCTCCTGCCTCAGCCTCCCGAGTAGCTGGGATTACAGGCGCCCGCCACCTCGCCCGGCTAGTTTTTTGTATTTTTTAGTAGAGACGGGGTTTCACCGTGTTAGCCAGGATGGTCTCAATTTCCTGACCTTGTGACCTGCCCGTCTCGGCCTCCCAAAGTGCTGGGATTACAGGCTTGAGCCACCGCGCCCGGCCTGGCTGCCTTTGTTGTGGCTAGGAGAGGAGATGAGATAAACCCTAGAGGAGAGGAAGGAAGCCGAGGCTTGGAGGCAGAGCACAAGGAACAGACAGATCCTGCTTCTGTCTTGTTAAGAATGATTCAGGTTTGAAAATTCTAGAAATGGGGACCCTGAAGCCTTCCACTGTGATCCCAGGCATTATATTACAGTACTCACCTAATGTTTACCATGCCACAGAACACCTCCCCAGCGTGCATACCCGGAGGCAGTGTGGGGTTGAATTTAGGGGACCTCAACCTCCTTTAACTAGGTGTTAACTAGGTTAACTAACTTCAACTAGGTGGGCAATCTGTTACTTTAGTCTTGCTTTCTTCAGCTGTAAAAGACAAATTCTGAAGGTCCATTATGGGTGTGAACCAGGCTCAGCTGTTAGCAATTTACATCTCTTTTTATAAACCACATGGCAACTGGATTCAAATCAAGTTTTACTCATTCTTTCACCAAACGCTAAGGGCCTATGATACGCAGAGCCCCAAACCGGAGTTTCAGTGAGCTCAGTTTTTCCCTCAGATTTTGCCACCCTGCTTCCTATTAGATTCTGGAACATCATTTCAGTTCTATCTTGTCAGCTCTCTTGCTCACCAGCACCCCTGTGTCACCAGGGAGGTTTCCTGAATCAAGTGAGAAATCATGGCGGCCTCTTCATCCATGCCCTGCTAGTGTGCACTACCATCAGGTGGCCCAAGGTTATGCTTCACCCTCCCCACCAACATTATTTTCTTTCGTAGCTTAAAAAAATTACAGGAAGCAGGAATACACTTTTCTTGTAGAATAATTTTTTAAAAATAGATAGCATGCTTGTAATCCCAGCACTTTGGGACGCCAAGGCAGGAGGATCACTTGAGCCCAGGAGTCCGAGACCAGCTTGGGCAGTATGGTGAAACCTTGTCTCTACAAAAAATATAAAAATTAGCCAGGCTGGTGAGGCATGCCTGTAGTCCCAGCACCTTGGGAGGCTGAGACAGGAAGATTGCTTGAGCCCAGGAGGTTGAGGCTGCAGTGAGCTGAGACTGTGCCACTGCACTCCAGCTTGGGTGACAGAGCAAGACCCTGTCTCAAAAATAAATAGAGTAAAATAAAATAAATAGACAAAGAGAAACTCCTCTTGACAATTCCCCAGCCTCCCAACTTGATTCATGGAAAGACTCAGTCATCCCGAAGAGATAGTGACAAGTTTATATAAGGTTTTGAAAGAGGTCTTGAGGTTCCCAAATCTAAGCCCTGAACAATAACCATTAGGATCTAACCTGTAGATGTGAGCCTTGACTCCCTTCAATACAAGGCAAGGTGACTAAGCTGGGCCTCAGTGGTGGGCCTGTTCTGGTGCTGGGATTCGGAAGCAGCAACTTCAGGCCAACCTGTTTTTTTCCCACCCCCATATCTGCAGGAGCTTTACTTTATGATGCCGGTGTGTCCTCCTACCTAAGATAAAAGTTCAGGTAATGGAGGTTGTACAGGAAAGGATGACTGTAAAATCTGAAAAGAGGAAATGGGGAGAATGATGCCTTTGATGCCTGGCCAATGTTCTTGATTACAAAGGCAAAATTGTAGCAAGCAGTAAAGTTACCTGTCCAAGGCCTAGTTGAAGGTCTGTACGTGGAATCAGAGAACTAAGAGAGGATTGCAGCAGAGGTCGGTGGCAGGGAGGGGGAGGAGAGTGCCCGGGAAACAGGAGACAGTAAAGAATTGCTTGCAGAAGCACACACCCAAAGAGGAGGAGATGCCATGGATAAAGGGAGACCAGCATTAAGTTCCAGGCCCAGTTGAGCCCTGAAATGCCCTTTGTGAGGAGGTAATGAGATCACATGGCTTCCTTCATGGGAAGGAGGCAGGCTGAGAACTGGAAGAGCTTGTTCAGTGGGGTTTGGAGGTCTGAGAACAGGAGGGAAGTGACTGTGAATAATGAGCTGTCCCAGACTGTGCCTTGCCGAACACTGGCATTTAGAGGCACTGTTGATTACCAAAGAAGGGGGAAGTTCAGAAAAGGCCTTGTCCCTTCCAGGAATAAGAAGGGACTTTATTATTATAGATGCAGCAATAAAAACAGCTGCCATTAAGTGAGCACTTACTAAGCATCAGGCTTTGTGCTAGGCACTTCTATCCATTATCTCCTGTCTACACGAAGCATTTTTGTTCCCATTCCAAAGATGAGCAATATGAGGCTCAGAAAGATTAACATGCCCAAGGTCACACAAGTAAATTATGGGGTCAGAATTTGAACCCTAGGTCTGTCTTGGGAGGGAGGGGAAAAAATCAGAACAAATAAGGAGGACAGAGGGAGAATAGACTCAGGAATATGAAATACAACACATACCACCAAAGGACAGTTCACGTATCTTTACACAGAGGGTAAAAAATGTGTATGCAAAGCTGAATTCTGAGTCAGAATGACCTAACTCATGCTTGAAAGCAAGTGCCTCTTAATTTGCCCCACATGGCAGCCTGTGAGACAGGGGTGTCCTAACTCCTGGCCTTTGAGGAAGTCAAATTCACCAAGTTTCTCTAAGCCCTCCACAACCACACCCTTCTCAAATCAGGCAAGCTCATTTCTCTTGACCCCCTGGTGTCACTGAGGGGACAGGTGGCCCAGTGTAGAAATCATGTTTGCATCTTCGTGATTAGGAGACCTTGCATTCCAAGGAAACAAATGTATTTGCATCTGTTTTCTCAAGAACCCGCCTCCTGGCTAAAAATTCCTTGGAGGAAGGGCAAAGACAGCCCCTGTGTTATACCCAAGGAATGCCGATGCTGTCTTTCTTGCTAGGTGCTGAACTGAGTCCTAGTTCAAATGGCTATTATTTGTTTTTAATTTGAGAATACTTGAACAGCTGTCATTGTAAAAGAGTCAAACCATACAAAAATATAATGAGTGTGATTGTCATGCCACAGATATGATTGTACTAGAAAGATCATGTTACTTTATTTTCTTTTTATCAAATCTAACACCAAGGTCCTATCCCATTAGCTGTGTAGACATTTGTTTTCAGAGGCACTTCTCCTCCCAGAGTAGAACAAAAGTCCCAGAGTTTTAAGAAAACCAAGATATCCAAGGGACCCCTCTGACATTTATCCATGCTGGCCACCACAGATACGTTCCTTGTCCAATCACAGGCATTCCCTTGAAATCCACGCAGGCACATCATCTCTCCCAGGGCCCAGCCTCCTGGGGTCTAGTACTCAGTCCTTCTCCAGGGACCCACTGCTTCTGGGGCACAGGCTGCAGCTTCCCACTACTCAGCCTGGCTTCAGACCCCTCACACTGGCTCCAGACCCCTCCTTCCTGCCCTCCCGGTTCTGAGACTTTGACCCCTCCCTTCACCACAGGCCCTTCTGCCTTCAGGACACTCACACTTCCTCAGTGAGTTCAGTTTTTTCTGCAAAAGCCAGGAAGGGAGGACTTTAAACAACATTTGCTTTTGGCAAATGCCCCTGAGGCAAGGAAATAGAAGGTGAAGCCATCTCCTTGGAAGGGAAGGAGGGAAAAGACATGGAACAAAATATAAATAGCTGTCATTCCTTTTTATTCTACAACAGCAAAAAACAAAACTCAAATCTCATGTATTATCCTGTGATCAAAGTATTCAAAGCAAAACACCAAAGTCCCTCTTTACTACCCCCTCTCAAATTCCTTTCCCAGAGCAACCATTATCAGGATTTGGGTGTGCTCTGTCTTGTCTTCATAGTTAACTATCATCAATTATCTGGTTGTAGACTTTCAACATTTAATCAACAAATATTGAGTGCCCACAAAGTAACAGGCAGTTTGGGGCAGGCTAGACTCAAGTAAGCTGACAATTACAATGCCGTGGGGTAAGTGTGTGATTAGGGAAATGCCGGACAGAGCAGCAAGTGTCAAAGGTGTTTAGGGAAAAGAAACAAGTTATTATTTCTGGAACATAGGTCACAAGGCGGGAAGAGATATAGGAAGGGAACGTTAAGCCATGCGGCAGGGCCCAGACCAGGCAGAGCCTTTTAAGCTATGTTTAAGAGTACAGACTTTATATCAGGAGCTCTGAGGAGCCTTGTAAGAGCTGTAAGTAGAAGAGTAACATGCTCAAGTTAGCATTTTAGACCACTTTGGCTGCAATATAGAGAATTGAATGGGATGAAGTGACCCTAGGGAGTAGGTTATGTCAGTAAATAGGGTTGGCAGTGATGGTGGCCTGGAATAGAATAGCGGTAGTAAGAATGGAAGAAAGAATAAAATAAGACAAATATTTAGGGGGTAGAATTGTTAGAATTTGGTGATTGATTGGATATTGGTGGTTGGAGTGGGGGTGAAGGAGATGGAGGCTAGGAGGACAACAACTCGCTTGGGTAATAGATGGATGGTGGTTCCAATCCCTAAGACAGCAAACACTGGAGGAGCAGTTTTGGGGATAGAATGATTTCAGTCTTGAACATGCTGAGTTTGAGGTGTTCTATTTAAGATTATTAAGGTAGAAATGTCTAGGGGGCTGTTAGACTTAAGGGTCTGGAACTCAAGAGAAGACCAAGACATATGTAATCACTGACCTCTGTGTGGGCACCGTGGCCATGGGATTGGCTGCAGTCACCCAGAGAAGGCATCAAGAGTGAAAAGAGGGGGCCGGGCACGGTGGCTCATGCCTGTAATCCCAGCACTTTAGGAGGCCGAGGCGGGCAGACCATGAGGTCAGGAGACCAACCTAACCAATATAATGAAACCCCATCTCTACTAAAAATACAAAATCAGCCAGACATGGTGGCAGGCACCTGTAGTCCCAGCTACTTGGGAGGCTGAGGCAGGAGAATCACTTGAACCCAGGAGGTGGAGGTTGCAGTGAGACGAGATTGCGCCACTGCACTCCAACCTGGGCGACACAGTGAGACTCTGTCTCAAAAAAAAAAAAAAGGAAGAAGAGTGAAAAGAGAAGAGGGTCCAAGAATCCCAGGGGTCACCACCAACATTTTAGGGACTTGTATTTGGGCCCTTATGCTTTAGTAAGATAAATTTTCTTAGTAAATGAGTTCAGGGAAGGTATCATGTTTTCAAAATAAAATGTAAATTGTTCTTAAATATTTTTTTAACCTTATCCTACTACTACTTTCCTTTTTTTTCTAATCTCTACCACTTACTAGCTGTGTAATCTTGGGCATGTTATTTAACCTTCTAGTGCCTCAGTTTCCTCATCTTTAAAACAGGGGCAATAAAAATCTCTACCTGATAGTGTTGTTATGAGGATGAAAAGAGTTAATATGAAAAAGTGCATAGAACAATCACTGGCTCACAGTATTTACCCAATAAATATAAACTGTACGGCCCTCATCCTGACTATCATTAGCATGGAGATGGATGGAGGGTTGATGCTGTGTTCATTTGGAGCTCCATGGCTCCAACAATGGAGTCAGACAGAGTTGAGTTCAAATCTTACGTGACTTTGATTTCTCCCAGCCTCAAGCTTCTCTTCAAGTGGCTGTGATGGGGTAGTGGGGAGATGGAGATGGTTAATGGGTTAAAAAAAAAAAAAAAAGTTACAATGAATGAATAAGGCCTAGTATTTGATAGTACAACAGGGTGACTATAGTCAACAATAATTTTATTGTACATTTAAAACTAACTAAAAGACTGTAATTGAATTGTCTGTAATACAAAGGATTAATGCTTGAGGAGATGGATATTCCGTTCTCCATGATATGATTAGTACCCATTGCATGCCTGTATCAAAACATCTCATGTATCCCATAAATATATACACCTACTGTGTGCTCATAAAAATTAAATAATTATTTTTAAAAATGGCTATCACACCTACCTTATAGTGAAATAATGTCCAAACGCCCTGGCACACAAGAGGCCTTTAATGGTGGTTAATTTCCTTCCATTCCTTCTTCCGTAGTTGTCAATTCAGAACCAGGCAAGTTTGGCGACTCACACCAGGTCTTTTTTCCCTTCCATCTTGTCAGAGGTGTCCTACAATGCAGCACTGAGCTGTAGATGCTGGTTCCCTGTTAAAACCTGGGGAAGAGTGCTAGTTAAATATCTGCAGACACACTGGAGGAGCTTCTCCAAAGTGACTTTCCTCTCCCAGGTGGCCCTCTGGTCAGTGAGTGGCATCTTGGAGTCATCAGGAGAAGGCTGGACCATGTGGGGAGGGTGGAGGAGCAAGCAGAGCAGAGCCTTCTGTGGCTGCGACTTGTCCTTCCTCAGGGAAGGCCTCCATCTTCTGCTTTGGTGGAGCAGCTGCCTTCGGACTCCCCACCACACCAGACTGTCCTCCACAGTCTTCAGAGAAATTGGTCTCCAGTGCAAATCTATGGTCCCAGCTCTGTGGCCTGACTCTTGCGGATCCTTCCAGCCTCATGTCCTGCCTTCCCTTTCATGCCAGACCTCACTGCCCACAGTCTACCTCAGCCTCATGCCAGGCCTCCGTTCCTTGGTGCAGTGGCTTCCTCTGCCAGGAATGTGCCTCCCCAACCCTACTCCCTTTTGTTGGTCCCTGAGGTGAACACATACCTAGTTAGCTTTTCAAGGTAGCTCTCCAGTCACCTCTTGTGAAAACTGCTCTGCTTCCCATATGTATTGTTAGCTGTCCCCCTTTGTGCCCTCCCGTAGGCCCTTGTGTTGTAACATCACAATGTGGTTGCATGCTTGTCTTTTGAGCTGCTTTAAGGCAGGGAGCCTCTCTTACTCATCATTAGCTCCTCACTGCGTTGGACAGAGCCTGATACCAAGGGGGCCTTCCGTGTTGGCAGAACAAAGAAATGAATGGACGCATGGACAGACGGAGAGACTAATGCAGCTTGTTGAGATAGGGGCTACAGCTTCACTGATGTGAGAACAACTCCACCCTCATGCCCCAGCCTTTTTCTGGGGGCAGGGGCACATAATAACCTTTTTTCCACACTAAACCTTGCTCACTACCAGACTAGTAGGCCTTAAACTCTGGGGGCAAGTATGGAAATCCCTCCTATTTCAACACCCACTGCCCAGAGATTTTGATTCAAAGCAAGGTAGTACATATTTATTGAGAACCTACTATGTTCAAGGGACCACGGTGACACAGTGAGAGGAAATAGCCTCACAGTACTTTCAGAAAGTGCACTTTTAAGTCCATCATTGACATTATCTTCATAAACATCTTTATAAATTCAAGATTCTCTGTGGTTCCTCTGACGGTTCTTTCTGAAAGTCCTCCAGACTTCAACAGTAGTAGAGGGGGAAGTGTGGGCAGCTCTCTAATAAGAAATCTCTTTCTTGCCAGGATACATGGGGTTTCTACTATATAGGAGGCCCTGGCCCATAGGATTCTTCAGGGCCAAATAAATCATACTTTGTTCTCATCGCACTCTGACATTTTGTTTAGGGAAAATTAGATTCGAATGGGTGTACGAATCGCCATGAATGAAAAGAGACAGTAAGGCAATCTCATCCCTTTGATGAGGAGAGCCTCAGATTTCTGTCGGCACATTCTCCTTTGGTCATTGTTCAGCACCAGCTGGGCTCAGAGGCACAGGGTCTTGGACAGGATCTGCCATACCCTTAGAGCAAATGGGCTGGGCTGGCTCCACCTCCATGGCATCATTCCTGGGACCAGAGTGAGCTGTTAAGGCTTATGTCTTAGCCAAGCCTCAATGCAAGATAGTCTCACCTCTCTGTCAACACCATGCTTGATCCCAGGATGGGCACAGGGCAGAGGCAAAAAGGGGGCTAGTGAGATAAAGCAAGGCAGCACCGAGTGAGAAGACCCAGCCTCCTAAGAAATGGGAATCTACAGGGCAACAGTTGCCCGGGGGCATCCCGAGGAGGGCAGGAGGCACCAGCAGCACCCAGGACTGTCCATGGGGATTCTGAAAGCACCAATACAGACACACATGGATATTCTCTTAGCCTGGGGCTTGGGAAGCAGGTAGGAGGATCAGGAGGTAGAGAGTCTGGGGCCAGGAGAGGAGCCCTCTGCATCTGGCTAGTTTAGAAAAGTAGGATTGTTGGAGTTGAAGGTTGTTAGAGTTGCTTTGCAGCAAGCTCTTCATTTAGGCCCCCTCTGGGACACCCTCTCCCTCCTGTCTGCCTCCACTACCTGTGTCCTTGGCCCCACCATCTCTGAAGTGACAAACAGTGGTCACTAGCTTACTATGAGGCAATCCAATCATAAGGCATACTCTTTTGTGGCACCAAGAGACCTGCCTGGTACCTCCCTAGAACAATGGAGAGGTGTGTGGCTCTCACAGCTCACTCCTGCTGCCTAAAGCCTCCCTAACCCAAATCTGTCTCTCTCTGCAGTCCCACCCCCTGTACCTGTGCAATGCCAGTGATGACGACAATCTGGAGCCTGGATTCATCAGCATCGTCAAGCTGGAGAGTCCTCGACGGGCCCCCCGCCCCTGCCTGTCACTGGCCAGCAAGGTAGACTCATACTTTACCCTACACACACCCAGAACTTCACCCAGCTCTGGGCTGTGAGAAGACCCTGTGCTCTCTTGTTCCCATGTTTCCTAAGAGTGATATACCTGATTCCCTTGGGTTTCCCTAACCCATGACTGGTCTGAGAGAAGTGGAAATTCACACCTCTGTTCTTTCTCCTCTGACTAGCACCAGCAGGACTTTTTGACCTTCATCCCAGCATGTTCCCCATCCCACCTCCTTCCCATCACTTGGGAGTTCCTGAGTCCCTTCCCCTGCTCTGCACCAGAGCAAAGAAGGGGTCAATTGAAGGGATTTCTTCTTTTAGAAATATACACTGAGCATGTGCAAGAACAGCAGAGATAGGCCGGGCGCGGTGGCTCACGCCTGTAATCCCAGCACTTTGGGAGGCCGAGGCGGGCGGATCACAAAGTCAGGAGATCGAGACCACGGTGAAACCCCGTCTCTATTAAAAATACAAAAAATTAGCCGGCGCGGTTGTGGGCGCCTGTAGTCCCAGCTACTCGGGAGGCTGAGGCAGGAGAATGGCGTGAACCCGGGAGGCGGAGCTTGCAGTGAGCCGAGATCGCGCCACTGCACTCCAGCCTGGGCTGGGCGACAGAGCGAGACTCCGTCTCAAAAAAAAAAAAAAAAAAAAAAAAAGAACAGCAGAGATAGAAATCATTGCCCCACTCTTAAAAAGTTCACAATTTTCCCCTGAGATTGCAAACTGGTGGCCCATAAGCTGGGTTTGGCTTGCAGACACGTTGTGTTTAACCCTCACAGTGACTTTTCAATGTGTAACTTAATTGCCACATTTAAAAATTAAAAATGTTTATATAAAAGCTCAGTTTTTGCCAGGCACGGTGACTCATGCCTATAATCCCAGCACTTTAGGAAGCCGAGGCGGGTGAATCACGAGGTCAGGAGATCGAGACCATCCTGGCTAATACAGTGGAACTCCGTCTCTACTAAAAATACAAAAAATTAGCCAGGCGTGTTGGCAGGCACCTGTAGTCCCAGCTACTGGGGAGGCTGAGGCAGGAGAATGGCGTGAACCCGGAAAGTGGAGCTTGCAGTGAGCAGAGATCGCACCACTGTACTCCAGCATGGGCAACAGAGCGGGACTTCGTCTCAAAAAATAAAAAACCTCAGATTTTCAGTTTCTCTAGAAGAAAGCTGCAAAGTACATTGCTGCAGGCCATGGTTGGTAGGAGCTGGGCTGGGGCTGCCCCTTTTCCACAGCTGTGGGCCTTCTCTTTTGCTATGCTCCACCCTGGTCTGCTACCTCACAGGACCTTTAGACCTTTGCCTGTGACTCCTGCTTTAACTAATAATAGCAGTTACTGTTTTCTGTGTGCTCACAATGTGCCATGTGGACGTGGGACAGATTCTTTGTATGTATGATCTCATTCACTTTTCAGAACAATCCCAGGAAAGGTAGGCATTATTATTCTCAATTTGACGTATGAGACAAGTGAAGATCAGAAAAGTCAAGTAACTTGCTGGATGACACAATTAGGAAGGAATGGAGCTGAGCTTTGAATCCAACCCTGTCTGTTTCTCCAAACTAGGCTTAATCTATCTGTGGCCTCCCTTCTAACTGGAAAACTGAATATATGTGTGGAGTGTAGTTAGATTGTATGTGGCACACATGGGTATGCCCTCAAGGGTGGTAAGAGAGGAGAGTGACACTCCTGGCCTTTGTGCTAGCTTGTTGTCTCAGGCCCAGATCCCTTGTGGATATCCTGGTTCTTCTGGGGGCAAGGAAACAACCTGGATTCTTACCTCATCCCATGGAAGGCAGGGATGTGGGCAGGATTCTGAATGTGGGTGAAGATATTCACCTGGCCTGGCCATGCTGACAAGGAAGGGGACTCCAGAGGTAGTGGGAAGCAGGGGGTCAGGATGCACTTAGAGGAGCTGGGGAGTGTGGCATCTCTGCAAGGCCGTGAGCCTTCATGGCAGCAGAGTTGTTAGGCTGCAGCACCTGCCCTACTTCTGGATGTTTCATTTCTCTTAACTTACAAAATATGGGCAAATGGCACTCATTTATTCATTTGGTAAACAAGTTCCCAGTGCCTGTACTACATTACATAGTGAGTGTGTGTGTGTGTGTGTATGGTGGGGGGGGAAGAAGGGTTCTGAGAAGCTTTGCTGCTATTGGTGGGAGCTGGGCTGGGGCTGCCCCCTTTCCACAGCTGTGGGCCTTCTCTTTTGCCTGCTGCACCCTGGCCTGCTACCTCCCAGGACCTCTAGACCTTTGCCTGTGAGTCTTTGAGCTACCTCCAATATTTCAGAGGTTCCACAGGCTTACCTCAAATAGTTGGTTTTGTTTTGGCGGGAATTCTATTAGTTTAACATGTTAATACAAGTTATCTCATAAGAAAATAAATTGTAAGTAATAAATGTAGTTAGTTTGGTAGAACATCTGTTCTTCTTTTGAGACAGAGTCTTGCTCTGTCGCCCAGGCTGGAGTGCAGTGGCTCCATCTCAGCTCACTGCATCCTCCGCCTCCCAGGTTCAAGTGATTCTCCTGCCTCAGCCTCTCGAATAGCTAGGATTTCAGTTGTGTGCCACCATGCCTGGGTAATTTTTTTTTTTTTTTTTTTTTTTTTTTTGAGACGGAGTCTCGCTCTGTCGCACAGGCTGGAGTGCAGTGGCGCGGTCTCAGCTCATTGCAACCTCCGCCTCTGGGGTTCAAGCCGTTCTCTACCTCAGCCTCCCAAGTAGCTGGGATTACAGGTGCCTGCCACCACACCCAGCTAATTTTTTTTTTTTTTTTTTTTGAGACAGAGTCTCGCTCTGTCGCCCAGGCTGGAGTGCAGTGGCCGGATCTCAGCTCACTGCAAGCTCCGCCTTTCGGGTTTACACCATTCTACTGCCTCAGCCTCCGGAGTAGCTGGGACTACAGGCGCCCGCCACCTCGCCCGGCTAGTTTTTTGTATTTTTTAGTAGAGACGGGGTTTCACCGTGTTAGCCAGGATGGTCTCGATCTCCTGACCTCGTGATCCACCCGTCTCGGCCTCCCAAAGTGCTGGGATTACAGGCTTGAGCCACCGCGCCCGGCCTAATTTTTGTATTTTTAGTAGAGACGAGGTTTCACCATGTTGGCCAGGCTGGTCTCAAACTCCTGACTTTGTGATCTGCCTGCCTCAGCCTCCCAAAGTGCTGGGATTACAGGC